AAGGGGGCCACATCTGGGTATATACAGAGAAGTTCTGCGCCCAGCTTCAATACACGCTCAGAGCAACTTTCCACTATTCGCAAGCTTTGCTTTCATGGACGAATAGTACCTTCCTGCTAGCTCTAGTCTGTCTCTAGAAACGATTCTTTGTTGGGAAGGTTCTGTAACTTACCGTTCGTGAACAAGCCCTTCAAAGAACGGCCCTCATATAACCTAAGCAGGTGCCGTTGGCTTTAGAGAGTCTTCACTGTAGCATAGAAGCGAAAGTAAGAACAAGTTAGGCAAGAACGCAAGGAAGCCAGGCAGCTCGCATAACTGATGGTGGCAATTAAAAGCTCGGCTCCCCGCCGCGACCAACGAGATCTCGTGGAGGCTTGCGACTCCATGACGGGCTGCAACGCTAATGCTGTTGCTTGCGCGTGGCTTTGCAGGAACGCACGCTTTAGATTAACTAGTTTAGGCGACGAGAGAGTTTGGCTCCGCTCATCCCCCGAGATTTCGTGCCGCTCGCCGTGTCGTTCTATCGCACAGCGAGACAGTCGGGGGAGACAGGTGATTAGAGAAGTGAGTGAGTGAGTGAGTGAGTGAGTGAGTTATTGAGTGAGTGAGTGAGTGAGTTAACGAGCTCCACTGCTTTCTTTACATTCCACTAGATTACATTTTTCATTTCAGAGTAGAGGGCACGAGTGGAAAAGCTTGAAATAGCTTGACAGTAGTCAAGCGTCAAGCAGTCGCAGTACGCACAATTTGCACAATAAAATATACAAAAGAAACAAAATGAAAAACATTCATTTCATGCAGAGAGTCATCAGAGTTAAAACAAAATAGCCACTCGGATTACTTCATGAACGTCACTGCAAGTAGCTGTCTGAACTTGGCAGTCTCTTGAAGCTCGTGGTTTGATTGATTGATATGTGGGGTTTAACGTCCCAAAACCACCATATGATTATGAGAGACGCCGTAATGGAGGGCTCCGGAAATTTCGACCACCTGGGGTTCTTTAACGTGCACCCAAATCTGAGCACACAGGCCTACAACATTTCCGCCTCCATCAGAAATGCAGCCCCCGCAGCCGGGATTAGAACCCGCGCCCTGCGGGTCAGCAGCCGAGTACCTTAGCCACTAGACCACCGCGGCGGGGCGGTTACGAAAATCTGTTTAATGGGTTATCATAACAGAAAATGATAATGCAAAGCTTCGAAACATTTTGTTGTAAATACAGAACACGTGCGTGCTAAATGCGACATTTTATAAGTAAAGGAGCCAATCTTCAGGATTTTCGCGAAACCTCGCGCCAACTCATGTTGACTTTACGAATACTCTTTCATATAAGCTGTGGCTATAGCATGGTGTATACCAAACTGAAGTCATTCCTCTCAAACGTTGTCACGTTCCTAAACTACTTTCCTTTGGCTTGTCATGAATCCTGCAACAAGGTACGATTGATGACAAAAAAAAAGTGTACTGATCTTGGAGGCGATAGAGTTCAGAATAGCGCCACAGTTATTCCCGTGACTTGACCTGCCATGTTTACTTGCATAGCGTCGCCAAGCGCCAGCACTGCCCCATTACTTGATGTGTCGGATAATTTATATATACTGGGTAATTGTGCTAATATCGGCAAGTTTCGGCTAAAGCTGTGTATTACACGCATAGACTTTCATAATTATTGTATGAAACACTATGATCACAGGCTCTTAGCTGTTCTAACAACACCACTGGACTCGTTTAGCCTCATTCAAGTGATCGAGTTGACTGCTAGTTGTATTAATGAATTTCTTTCAACGTAATCTTGAGCAAATCTAAAAACGGGAATTTTTTTTATTGGTATACACAGTGCTACTGAAGACTGAAACTGAAGTTTAAGAAAACTTGGAGCACGCTTGAGCCTCGCCTTCTAGAGTAGATGACCCAATCGGGCACCGGACACGTCGCTTTCTCAACTTCTAGCCTGGCTTCTTTTCTCGGTGCATACCTCAACGGTGACGTAAAAATGAACGATTGTGTGCGTGACATTGGTCGTTTCGGACTGTTAACGCCTACCGCAGACACAGTGAATGAGCACCCACTACGCCATGATTATTCCTTAGGCGAATCAGTGAAGGGCCCACTATGTGGCCGTAGGGCAACGCAGCTGCTCATTTGATGATGCTTTTGCAGCTGATGATGATTAAATATGTCTGAGCGCTTAGTGACGGGTGGGCCTTTAAAACGCTCGCTCGTTGTGCAATTGACATTTGGCGCCGCGATTGTACGCTTCTGCTACGTAATACTTCATGCGTTAAAGAAACGCCTCTCACTGCATGGCACTCATGTAGTGTCTTTCCCAAAGCAGTTTCAGGGAAAATAAAGTAGATCTGTGGAGGAACACCTGCTTGCCGCGCAGAAGGTCTGCGTTCGAATCTCACGAGAACCAAAAGGTTTGATTACGTCATTTGAGTCGCCCATTGCTTTCTTTTTTCGTCCGAGACAACGCTGATTTCGGGCTCATGACCAACGCCGTCGACACCGGTGTCTCAGTGACAGCAACTCTTTGACGTTATTGCGTTAAAAGCGCACTATAGAGACAACGACACAAAGAAGACACAAGCGCACACAAATCTTTGTGTGGCTTGTGTGCGCTGTTTGCGCAGTCGTTAATGACCCACTTTTGTTTCTGTTTGAATCTCTAGCCTCATCGAAGTGAACATGTATTCAATCTACTATGCTCATCACGTGAATCACCGTGATCTTCCATAATTATTTTTACACCTCAGTTTTATTTAAGAGGCTGTGCGGACTACAGGCTTCAATGATCAAGTAATTATTGTATTTGAACCTGCAGTCACAAAATATCTCGCGGGTTGTCGCTGCTGATGCCAGCTTACCACGGTTTACAGAACTTCGGTATTTTTTGCCCGTTAAAGTTGATCGTGATGTTCTTATGTGGACGTTTATTGAGAACTAACAAGCAATGATGGCAAGAGACGTACAGGCGCTATTATTACTACTAATTGTAAACTGTGAATCTGAGGGAAGAACAGTGTACGAAAAGAACTTGCCGCTGGCAGGCACCAAACCTGCGGCTCTTATGCTTGTGACTATTTGTTCCAAAAATATAATAATACTAACGGTTGGGCTATAACGTTCCAAAACCACGATATGATCGTGAGAAACGCTGTAGTGGAAAACTTTCCATATTTCGACAACCTGGAGTTGTTTAGCGTGAACCTAATTATAAGCACATTGCCCTCAAGCATTTTCATATGAACCAAAAATGTGGTCACCGCCCCAAATATTATATCGCTTAGCTGTCGAACAACTCTGAAAATGGTTGCCTTGCTATTCAAAAACCGTCTGAGCAAAGTTGAACTTGTATTAGTATTCGATTCGTATCGTCAGTATTCGACACGTATTGAGATTTGGTTCTAGAACTTACTATTCGCGCACTGCTACTAGGCATTCAATCGGCAATCAGCGGGACGGAGGAGCCGGGCACTCCCTCTGTTCGACGAAAGTAGACTCAGCGGTGCCCCACCGCGAATGCCGCGCCTCCTGACGGCCCGTCCCACTTTTTGCATCTGCGTCCGCTAGCTCGCTCGCACGGCGCATGCGCGGACGGGCCGAGCTCCCCAAATGCAGTCAACGTTCGATGCCCGCACGCCGCCGAGAGATGAGAGAAAGGAAGAGTGAGACACGGGTTCTACTGGAGGGATGCGCTCACTCTCTCACCCCCACCTATCGTGACTCTCCCCTCTCGCCCGCCTTTGCCGCACCTGATCGTGAAGTTTCATTAATAAGCGGGTGCGCGGCCAAAGTGGCCAGCCGCAAAGCAGCAAGCCTCGCCAGATGCGAGGACGCCTCCGAAGCTCGTTCGGGCAGGCAGGCGTTTTGCGCACGCCCTCTTCCTCCTTTCTCTTCCTCCCCCGTGGAGAGATGGGAGAGAGGCTCCCGTCAACAGATGGTCGGTCCAATCTATTACGACCTCCTCGCACCGTCTTCTTTCTCTTCTAAATTGCCCAATAAAGGGAGTTGGCCGAAGGAAGGCTTCCAGGCAGCGCAACGCTGTTTGTGTTAGACGGTTGTCGACCTCCGGCTTGTCGCTCGAGTTGTCCAGTTTGCCTTCCTCGTGTTTGCTTGCTTCCCTGATTCGTTCGTTCTTTCTTTTCCTTTCCCTGAGTTCTTTCCTATTTTTGTGTTCTTCCTGGTTTGTATGCATACCTGCCTCCTTCATTCCATCCTTACCTTGTTTTCTTCTTTGCCATGTTTTCTTTCTTGCTTAATTCCGGACTTGACTGTTTCTTTCCTTTTTCTCATATATGTCTCACCCTTCCACTTTCCTATTGTCGCTGTATTATACATTTACTTATTCATTATTTATTCATTCATTCAGCCATCCTCACTGAAAGCTGAATGACCTAGTCAACTGACCTAACTATTCCAACTAAGTTTGACATTTGATGTTACAGTAAGAATATCTCTGAATAATCATTTTCCTGCTGGTGAAGTCTTTATTTAGAAGTATAAAAAGCCGCGAAACCGAATTGGTCTATTATAAGATACAAAAATAAAGTATGCAATATTTTGTAATTCAGATCTTTGGCCAGCTGCACAAGTTCTTCGAAATGTTTTGCTTCCCTCACAAGTATTTACGTATTCGCTGTGATACCAATACATGCATCACAAACTTCTGTCACAACTGCAAAACACATTTGTCGAATCAGCAAACAGATACAGAGAGCCAGAAAAATGAACGCTCCATATTCTGCCACTGACTTCTTGGCAACAGAAGCCTAATGTAAGATTCAGTGGTGAACAGTGGGTGTCCCGTCGTCTGTATTTCTAAACATGCATCTAGCTTTCTTTTCGTGATTGGCAGCTACTAGCAATTCAATTCACTGTGCTGAACAAACGTGGTCACGCGGAGTGTCGATGTAAGAGTGTCGAGGCGGAGTATCACGTGTAAGCGTTGTCTTGTCGGGTCACGTCCAGTGGGTGTGCTGCCGTGTTTGTCCTTGCAGACGCGGTGAAGCGTGCCTCGGCCTTCATCCTGATCAGCGCCCTGGTGCTGGTGGTGGGGGAGCTGCTGTGCTTCCTCGGCCACCTGTTTCGGCGCGGACGGGTGCTCACCTTCGCAGGAGGCATCGCCTTCATACTCTCCGGTCAGTCGTCATTCTACGACGATTGCGATTCTGCTAGTGCTGACTGCGAAACGCGGGAACGACCTCATGCATAGAGATTCGCTCGTGCGCACTGGTGTACTTGCGTGGGAAGCACATAACCGGAATTCAGCGTGCCATGGGAACAAATGTGGCTACCATGTAATTAACCTACAACGTTTGAAAGTGCGTATGCTTGTACGTGTTAGTCATTTGTCCGCGTCGTTTTTTTTTTTTCGTCCTTGTTCACATAGTTCGCAAAATGCGTGAACAGCAATGTTTATTAAATTGACAGTTGGACGAAAACCTGTCTGATCAAGAACAGATACAAAGACATGAACAACACACTGACCATCATTAAAGGCAAATAAAAGCACGGAAAATCGATCCAGGTTCGCGAGTTTTATTCACAAAACTTGTGAACAAGGCTTCCTCCCGAGGACTAAAACGTCGTGCTTTTATTTGCTTTTAATCGTGGTTAGTGTGTTACTTCGTCTTCAGCAATGTTTATTGCACGCAAAAACTAGACCTATATGCCACACTATAACAATAATTGATGGAGCTTTAAGTTGCAAAACCGGTACATGGATATGAACGACTTCACTGTGAAGAGCTCCGAAAATTTCGGCCACGTGGCGTTATCTAACGTGCAACCTAAGCACATGGGTCTTGGACATTTTGCCTCCATGAAAATGCGAGTGCCACGACTGCTATTTGATTCTGTGTCCTTCGAGTCAGTAGTGGAGCACGAAAACCACCGCGACTGATTTACAGTGCTACACTACACACACACCTTCATGCGATCTTTAATCGTAGCCACACCGCTTTCGCGTGTGCTCGCAATTCCGTTGTGCCATAACATTGTCCGCAGGCTTGCTACTCCAGTCACAGGCCTAGCCTAAAGCAGTTGCTCTGCGAGTATAGCGGCCATTTGGGACCCATTGATCTGTGATTATAGTTGAAGGAGTAAGTGAGCCCTAAATATAATGGAACCATTGTGCATCGCCGCCCACAGCTGTGAATCGTATGTGCCTCAAACCGAATACCTTCCTGATTTATGCCCTTTTGAGGTTATTGATTACTTTTGTGCCTTAAATTATTGCTCTGTATTGACGAACACGAATATATGGGTCAAGGTGACCACAAACAGGGCTATAGACACCGTTCATTTAGACATTTCGAGAATGATGTCTCAGAAAGAGGCAGGTTGTCGAGGCGTGCCAACAAAGCTCAGGGGTACTGTGTTTGCACGCTGACATTAGGAGCACTGACATAAAATATGTTCAATGGTTTTGTCAGTGCCGCAATGGTCACATGTGGTGCTGTCTGTCCGTCCGATGCGGCAAGCAATGACATTCGTAAAAGCCTCTCCAAGCCACATGCGACAATGAACCGCCGTCTCAGGTCAGAGAATAGAAAGTCGTAGGAACCTATTCCATTATCAAGAAGCGACGCAGCAGCAAAGGTTGATACACTCGCGCTGGATGTCGCAAAGTTTATGTGGAACCCGCCGGGTTTTCTCCAACACTCTCTTCACCACCTGTTCATTTATTTAGACAGTTACTCACCGTGCCAACGCCTTCCCAAACGCAAGAAGGAAAAGCTCTCTGGCCGATTGTCTCAACGAGACAAAGTAAAACACACATCACCATATAGCGATGAAGACGATGTGTCTGCGAGGACGAAGCCTATTTGGCATGTTGAAACAAGATGATGCTTGTCGACAACAGCGTTCATGTGGTCCTGGGAGTTATCGTGAACACAACCATAGGTAAACACACAACACTTTGTACACGTGAATCTCGTTTTGTCCGGCTGGCGCACGCGCGCTGCTGATTATTCATATATCGCAGTCCACTGTGTAAGAATGAAACCACGTGAAAGATTCAGGTCTCCAGGGGCATCGGTCTGTTGACATTTGTCGCAAGACAGACGATAAGCTTCGGGAGCCGCCTACACGCATCTCTTCAGCATAGGTAGCGGAACGCAGAACGAAAAAAGCGCGTCACGCATTTAACATTCAACAGAGGTCTGCGTGCTTCCCACACGAATGACGACACAGGTAGCCTAGGCTGGCCAAGCATTACTGAGAAAGTTGTCGAGAATTCGTCAGCACCTGTGCCCCGTAAGCCTAAACATTCGAGAAAAGTTAGCGAAGGCACTTAAATGGAAAACATGAGCAAAGGAAACACTTGCAGGACGCCTTCGCTTCACATTCCAGAGCAATACGAGGCAGCGCTGATGCACCCCATTGGCATCCATGGCCCTTTCAATTGCCAGTCCCACTTCGTTTCTTGGTGTACTCCTCAACCATGCTGCGAAACGTTGGACGTGTTAATGGTCCAGTATTTACAGTAATACCAGCCGCAAACACCACCGTTCTGTGTTACGTATATGCTTCGTGCAAGGAAAAATACTTCAACATGGGGTGTCGCTAAAGGCAACGTTATGACATACGGAATTGTCTTCTCCGAAACTGCAACTGCCAACATATGCATGTACACATTTCGTACCTTCTTCTACAGCCTCCACGAAAAAGGAGGTAAAACATGTCACTTCCTTCTTTTTTGTTACCATTCCACACTTGCCTTTTCTTCCTCAATTGTTTGGGTTGAAGTAGAGGGTACCAGACAAGCACACACACACACCAAGGTAGCCACCAAGAAACGTCCGATTGTCAACAAGTTGGCCTTGGCCACACCCCATGTTCGAGAATTGCCCGTTTCTAAGTGCTTGGTGTGACTCTCACTTGTTACTAATCCATCGCAGGGCTCATGATCCTGGTGGGCATGGTGATCTACATCTCGACCTTCAAGGCCGAGGTGGGCTCCAAACTGCGGCCCAAGTCTTCCTTCCAGGAGCCCCTGTTCACATACAGCTACGGATACTCGTTCCTGCTTGCTGTCACGGGCCTCATGTCGTGCGAGCTGGCGGGCACTTTCTCCATCTTCCTCTGCATCCAGCGCTACCAGCAGCAGCTCAGGAAGAAGCTCGACCGGCTCAAGCCCGTCGACCACCTGCCGGGCTGCCGGCGCTACCAGCAGCCCCTGCAGCGACACGCCTCGTCGGCGAGTCAGCGTCTGCTGCCGCACTCGTCTTCCCCGCCTGCCTCGGCCGCCGGCAGGAGCACGTCGGCCCGGAGGCACCACTCGTACCACCAGCAGCACACGGGCTCCGAGCCCGGATCGCTGGCCTTCGAGCCGCCGTCGCCTCCGGGCGGATCTTCTAGGCTTCACCACCACCATCACCACGGTGGCGGTGGCAGACCGCGCCTGCCGGCGTCGGAGTCGATGAGGGACCTGTCGTACTACAACTTCCCGCCTTTCTCGAGGGACACCACCTGCAACACCGTCTCCACCACGGCCGACAACTTGACGCGCGAGTACTCGCGCGAGTTCTCCTTTGAGACGCTACGCCGGACCACGCCGGTCTGAGGTCGCCTGCTCTGTAGGGTGTGGCTCTTTGCACTCGGCGTAGCTACTCGGAGGTGTAGCTACTTACCATCGTCGTTGACATCGACGATGACTCAGCAATCACTCACTCGCTCTACGCTGGAGACACTGCGCCGGGCGAAGCTCAGCCGTGAAAGATCCTTGTTCGCTTGCTCCGCGTATTGCAAATAATTATAGACGTTCGTGTATAGGGAAAAACCCTATTACCGTGCGCTAGCAGAGAAGGAGTAAACGAGGGAGCGTCGAGGCCGAGTACCAGTGATAGTGATTTCAGAAAACGAGTTTTCCTGGGAAATTCATGAAGTGATCACACTAAGAATCCACCCTCAGCTCAGACGACACTGTTAGTTTTGCGATTGTGGTAGCATGCTACGCGCAGAATGCGTTCAGGGTGAAGTTGTTTGGCGATCAAGAATTGTCTGGGCTTAGTTGTGGAACTGTAGAGAGTGCGATTGCTTCGGAAGAGAGCTGGTAGCTGCGTTCAAGAGTCCCGTTGGGTTATATACACATTAATAGGCACTCCTCTAATTTGCTTTCAAATGAAATGTCAGGTGGTGAGAACAGACTAGAAACAACGCGAATCGCAATGATCGCTTCAGAGCAAACAACAAGACGGGTGAAATATTACCTGATTATTGCCTTCTTCCTGTCGTGAGAAACGGCGTGATCTGTATACGCTCAACCTCCCGAAGGCCTAGTTGCCGTTTTTGCAATTCTCACGAAGTTACGTTTTGCATGTAAGGCTTTGTCCACTGCCAAGAGTGCTTTAGGCCATGGTTTAGTTAGATGTATACGTCAAAAGAAGGAACTTCATTTTATGCTATTAATGTTTTAAAACTTACTCATAAAGAAGCAATGTCCACCTCAGTTGTACTCTGTTGAAAATATGCAGTTAAATGAGCAAGAAAGTAAGCCATATTACAATAGGAACAATAGAGGAATGCTTAAAACACTAATTGAAGCTCTCTCCAAAATGGAAGCGAACACCTTGTGTATTTCTATTCCTGCACTCATATAGATTTGTAGAATAACAAATAACACATTAAATTTCAATGATAGAAATAAAGCGAAAACGTATTTCACATATTTCTTAACTTAAAACGAACGTAGCAGTTTACGAAACGACTGCATTCCGCTTGACCACTTTGCAAGCACACGAGTGGGGAGCTATAAATTTTACGCTTCGATCATGGGTAAGCCGTGCGAAACCGAAAACTTCTCCCAGCTTAGTAGTGAACTGAGTGTTAACAATAGATTAAACTTAACAGTTTCTAGGCCTACCAGGCTTATGAGAGAAAACCAAAATTCTAGATCATGCCATAGCTCAGAGGCCATAGGCGCATTGCTCGAATTCGGAATCCATGTACTACATCCCCATGTTTCTTTTGCCCTGTTTCTTTTCTCTCTTACAAAATAGTACAGGGCTGATGACCATGTTCCTGTCTGTTACGAGAAAGTAGTTTCAGGGGCATAAATCTGGGGCTATAAAAATTGAGGTTTACTTGACGTCAATGTCAAGCTACTATACTAAAGTAACTTGAACTACAAAACCAATTGCTACTTGACACTGATATCCCTGATTGAAGGACTTGGTACAATGTATTACCGAGCAATTGCTGAGAGATCAAAGGGAAACATTGGTAATGAAAAAAAAAACCTATTCAAAGGCTATCCTAGAACAGATCATTCGTTTGAAAACTATTTTCACTCCGGGCAGCTGTTCGGCTGCGTGGCATCGCACATTGATTGATATGTGGGGTTTAACGTCCCAAAACCACCATATGATTATGAGAGACGCCGTAGTGGAGGGCTCCGGAAATTTTGACCACCTGGGGTTCTTTAACGTGCACCCAAATCTGAGTACACGGGCCTACAACATTTCCGCCTCCATCGGAAATGCAGCCGCCACAGCCGGGATTGGCATCGCACATCAAAAGGACGTATAAACAAAAAGTGGCGGTCGCATGAACCAGAGTCCTAATGTCACGTGGTTTTTAGCAATTACATCACAATGGTGATCGCCTCGGTCTCGTTCACTCACTCTCTGCGAGCGGCTTCCTTGAGACAATTGTTCAGCCTGTCCTCGAAACCATTTATATGCTCACTCCCCTGGCAGGAATTGCCAGTCTTGCTTAGTTTTCTTGCAAATTTCCTTCCTAAAACCCTACACCCACATGAGAAGCACTGATGCTTAAAGCACAGATCTCACCCTCAGGCACCAGTGAACCTTCTTTACTACATCATCTTCTTTCCATTCCATGGTAGTAAGTTTTTTTTTTTGAATTATCAACGCGGGAAGTTGTGTCGTACTTATACCGTCAGTTCGTTCCCCTTGTCAACAACTTCGTACCGGCGTACACTACGTGGAAAACTCTCATTTATCAATGAATTCGACTACGAAGAGCCCGGTAGTCCGTACTATTTGTCATATGACATAAAAGGAATGCAGATGCTCAACGACTGTTGCATCTATCCGGTTGATTTGAATTGGCTGAAAACCGAAAATCTCTGAGGTTAGGTTTTATCTATGACCATGTGGCCACTCACAATAGGAAACCCCGAATGTTCATTTTGGTCATGAGCGTGAACATGAGGTAAGGAACGAAATGACAAGTGTTGGAGCTTAGTACAATTATGAATTATCTGCTCCAATTAGTCCAGCTCGTAACTGTGTTCACCCACTATGTCTTGACGAGGTTCAGAACGCTGTTCGTAGCTAAACCAGCACAAATTTAACGAGGCACATGAAAGACATAGGACAGTGTGTTGAAGTCGGCACTCTGCCCTGTGCCTTCTTTTGTGTTGGTACGTTTGGGATGTTGTACCTGTGTCCCCGATTGGGCGGCCAGCAAATGTTCCCGAAATACAAGACTCTACTGCACGTGATTGAGCGCTTAGTGGCTTTTTCGTATACACCATTTTGTGGGATTTCAGGATACATTTTTTTTCGCATAGGAGAAAGAGATTCATTTGGGTAGATATCGCGTAGGGTTTTCCACTGCCCCAGCACACAGAAGGAGCGATAAGGCCCAGACGCGCATTGAGTACGCGTGTTTAGGCACGGCACCTATCGGCTCAAAAAGAAAAAAACGGGAAGTTTTAGTGATGCGCTGAAGTGATGGACTGAAGCTGCAAGTTTTACGGCGTTCGATCACCGCGACATATTTGTATGTAACACTTTCAAGAAAGACTCCTTTCACAAGCATCATCGAATTGTTTGAGTGAAGAGACTTTGTATAATGCAATTTCGTGTGGTGTCGGGCCCGGTTTTGACTCCAAGATCGGCGACACGACACCCAAAGTTGGCGCTGTGAAGCGTCCTCTATTCCACGGCGTGGTGAACTTGTAGTTGCGCTTAGCCAGCTGAACTTGCGGAAGTGACGTAATCGACTAGACCACGTGGCGCCGGATGTCACCAACCCTGTGTTGCTGCTGCCTACGAGCATATCACCGTCACACTTCGAAGCAGCCCCCCTATTACGTCACCGAAGCCACGCCCCCTACAGACACTTACGTGTGTCAGTGCGTGTGTGTACCTTTGTGTTTTTGTTTGTTTCTCTTCGACCTGTGTGATTTTAAATGTGCGAGTGATACCAAGCTGACGCGGCGGCGCTCGACAGTGACGTATCTCATCTACGTAGTAACTTTGACGTCACACTCGCCCCGCCCGACCACCGTCTCCTCACAACCAATCACCATTCCTTTCGCCAGTGTCGGTTTCACGCCTTCTTGTGTGAACTTTTTGTTGTCATGTGTCGTGTGCACCGCTGACTAGGTTTTTTCTTCTTCTTTGTCATCACTACCACTTTCTTTTTCTTTGCACGAGTGCCAAGACACCATACACCGTGGCACTGCTACCGGAAGTAATGCTTCGAAATGTGTGTATAGAACTGCTCCTCCCACACCCATTTCCGAAGCACGTGACTCTGTCGACGACCAATCACAGGCATCGTGTTGCGCCTGTAGCGCCCGCGTTGGGAGGAGCGCGTCGACTGAGGACATTTTCAACCAGACGAGGAAAAAAAAAACGTGTTGGCTCAAAACATGACCAGGGTTATATATCCTCTCGACCTTCAGGATGATTTTAGCTTTAAAAACTTATACCGAAAAGCGTTAACTTTTTCGCTTGTGTAACCATACCGTTATTATGATAGTTGAACGATACACACTTCTTTGTTGTATGGCTAGTCGAGTTAGCGATGTTCATTTTTGACCTCGTTGGCTGAGTTCTTCGCGGAGTGCGTCGGCTGAGTGCGTGCCGAGGCGACAAAAACCCGCGTGCATGCACACGTGACCTCACCTTTGACACCACCAGATCACGTAGATAACACCCTTTCAATGATTTTTTTCCGCAAATGTTAGCCTGATTCATCGCCTGCCTTGTTAGCTCAAGTGTCGGTGTTTCGCTATGGCATATACAATGATCAGAGTGCTATTGCTCGCGATGCAATGTCTATTTAGGGCTTACTCAAGAATGAACACTGCCTACGGATTACTATTATGCACAAATGTTCCGACGACGGCTTATCTATCGATGTTCAAAACTAACGTCCTTCGTCGTTTTCCTGCTGGCATCGCCAGTGCACATCTGCTGCTTCACATTTATTTGCATTTCAGTTGAATTTGCGGCACTGTGGTGCTTCGGTTAATACAAGTTTGGGAACTAGGACACCATTGGGCATGACGTTAACAGGGTGATAAAACAATCCAAAGATGCAGTTTGAGGTTAACAGCGCGAAAAAAAAAAAACACACACGGTGGACAGGCAAAAGATGGCACAAGTGCTGCCCTCAACCTTTTTTTTTTTTTGAGCGTTAACCTCAAGTATGTACAACCAACTAACCCAGTCAGCGACATTGCTAAAGATGTAGCGATGGCACACAGACAAGTTATATGTGATCGCCAATGGATGTGTAAATTTCCAAGGATTCCTTCTTTAGATTTTCAGAGACGCTTTGCTCCGTGGCCACACCGGCATACATTGTGCTGGTTAGTAACGGCGAGCTATTTATGTTCAGCAATTAACGTTGTTACTGCACACATGTTATCTGTGAGGTTTTTTAGCGTACGAATGGTTCGTTCATTATCACCAGCGAGGTTTCGCATATGTCCAATGGGCACGTCTAAGAGAGCGTCGACCGAGCCCGTCTTTCACCGAAGTGGGTATGCGCACCTTCGGCTGCTGTGTGAACTTGAGCAGGATTTAGCAGATGGTTCATAGCTCTGTACGTGACCCACTTTCATCGCG